TTAATTTTCAAAAAAAAACTGAATGAATGAATCTATTAATTATATATATCAGTTGATTTCAATAAAAAAATCTAATTAGCTTCTCAATAGATTCTAAAAAGACTTTTGATAAAAATTCAGCACCCTAAAAATTGCAGCTCATTATTTACAATACAGTGAAATTATTCAGGAGTAGAACGGTTAAGTCGATTATGATACTTTTAAAAAAAACTATTATAAGTGATAGTAGAGACGATTATATAGCAAAATTTAAAAATGAAAAGAAGTCACTATATGATATTAAGCATACAAAATCTGAGGACTAAATCACATCTCTGGTGTGACTACAGCTTTGTAAATTATATAAGGGGTCTTCAAAAAGTTCATGGAAGGATCCATATTATCTTTCAATTCTATTTTTCCATGAACTTTTTGAAATACTTTCGTATGTACACATAATGATAAGTACGGAAAGGAAATGAGAACTCATTATCTGAATGGGAGGGAAGCAGCTTAATACTTTTTTTCATTTTGATGTCTATTAAATTATATTAAAATATTATTCACATAATTTTTATCAGAGAAAACTACGCAGAGTAGGAGCGAGAGTGGGAAAGGGGCACAAAATATACTGGAGGAACTGACTTTGTAAAACCCCAGATGCCACCCATAGTCACACTGTGGATGGGAAAAGATGAGGGTGAAGTTGCCAGCTGCACCAGGCCTGCAGACTGTGCTGCCTGGGAATCTGTCTAACCAGCTCGACAGGTTATTCCTCTCAGGCCAGCCCTTCCCCACCCTCCCTGCCTCCTCTGCCACTCTCAATGTCAGGCTGGTTTCACCTGCTGTATAAACACTATATGCGGAGCAGCCAATCCCACCTCCAGGCAGGATGGGAAAGTAAGCAGTGAGAGCTGTCGCCTGGGCACAGAAAGGGACTTCAACACATGAGCTGCTTCAGACCCTAATGGCCCTCAGCCACACCCACCCTTACCTGTTGAAGCATCTCTTCAGCAGCATTGAGCTTCACCTGGTGTCCTTCCAGACATACTTCCAGGTCCCGAATCTTCTCTCCTTGGGCTTCCACTTGGTCTGTGAGGACACTCACCTGTTCCAGGAAATAAAGCAATGGTGGAGGAACAAGGCCTCTGTGTGGCCAGGAAATTCTCCCCACCCTATGTGAGCTGTGAAACCACAGCACTGACTCTCACATGCAAGGAATAGCCTCTTTTTCATGAGTGGCAGGTGGGGGAAGTGTCCTGGATGAAGGCAATTTCAACTGGATTCTTACCTTATCAGGGAGTCTCAGCCACTGCCTGAATCACATTGGTCATGTTTCCTGCTCTTGATAGACTCAAGAGAAAAAACACCCAGCAGCCAGGAGAGCTGCCTCTGGGCTGGACTCCTGCTCTCTATTCGTCTTACAGGGCAGCCTGACCTCAAGGCATATCTCAGCTGCTTGCCAGGGCTTCTGCCACCGCATGTGGAAGAGCAATCCAAACTTCTACAGAAACTAACCAATGACCTTTCCTCTCTCATAAGGGTGTGAGGACTGCTCGCCTATCAGGAGAGTGTTTTGAAGCAATTAAGGAATGTGGACGTAAGGGGCATGTATTAGCACTGACAACACTTGGCTCCAGAAAGGTTTTTGTGCTTCACAGGCCAAAACATGACTCTAAGTCATAAATATACAGAAGCCACATTGCACATACAGCGGTAGAAACAAGTCATCTTTCTGAAAAACCCTGAGAATCTCTACTGAAAATATTAATTAGTAAAAACCATTAATAATAAGTCATTTAAACTATGCCCTAAGTGTATAGTAAGAGGATTTTCACAGCCTTCTCTATTAGCAAAATGCCAAGGATCCTTTTTCTTTTTCCTTATTAAGAGATAGCTCAAAGCAGGAAGATGAAAGAGAACGGGTGGCCTCTCAAAAGTAATCGATGGCTGGTAAATTGATATCCTTTAGACTTTTCTGGTTAGAGTCATTGCCATTTACACATAGATTATCCTAAATTATTTCTCAGTCTGTAATGGAATGATAGTTGGAACATGAAAGAGTTAATGTAAATTCATTTATGAGTGTTTAAATAAATTTTATAAATTATAAAGCACTTTTAAAAAAGGAACTAATCTAAATTAACATGGGTACTGTAAGCTTTCCATTTTTATGTTCCCAAATGGTGAATGAATTATTGAAACATATTCCTGAAATTCATGCATGGTACTCTAACATTTCAATTTTAATCGAGAAAAAATCCAAACCAAGCCTATCTTAAACACAAACCTTTATGGGTTTTTGTTTGTTTTTAATCCTTATTGCCCAACACTATCAGCAGTCCTGGCCTTTTCAACTAACTCTACTTTCCAAAGAGTAGGATTTGGGGGGGTGGGGGGGTATACTCTGCTCCCTGGATACAGATATTGTCTGGGAAGGATGTGTTATGGTTAATCTTATTATGACTAACATTTATACAGTCTGCACCACACCTCAGGGCCATGTGCTGGTGGTACCTAGAGGAATAATATATGGTCTCTAGCATTCTATACCTCACAGTTCAGCTGTACGTTAAGACTAAAAATACACAGGACTGCAGGGGCCTTACGAATTTCAGTATTGACTAAGTATTATGAATGGGGAGGTGTAGAAAACTGAGACAAAATGTATAAAGATCCTAAAATGTGACCTTCATTCAATAAAAACAAATATTTTTTGAGCCCCTACTACATGCTAGGCATAATTTTAGGCAGGAGGGATACAGAAGTGAGGAAAAAACCCAAAAGGATGAAAATCCTTGCCCTTGCCTTAAGAAGTTACTTTACAATGAAGATATAAAAGATTTCATTTTTGTTTTTAACTAATCCTAGAAACAAAGTATGTTTTTACATGTGATTTGCTTTGTTCTTCTACAAGCAGACCCAGGAAAACATTCCGAGCCAAGGGCTCTAATTAATTCAGTCTGGCTAAGCGACTGTGTGAATTAAGCAAGAGGCTTTACTCTGGAGAGGATCTGTCTAACCAGCTCCATGGGGCCACTACTGAACAGCAGTGATCATTTTAGAGCAATTCAAAATCTATCCACAAGCTCCTAGCAGAACAGAAATCCCTAAGGTTAACTTCTGACTTTACTGGTATCTTCTCAATTGCGTAGGATTATTTAAATAGGGATCATTCGAGAATTCCGAATTTTAAAAAAAATCAACATGAAAGAGAGCATTATTACCTAGGATTTCTTTATTAAATTAAAATCCTCCCAAAATAGGGATGTGTTATTTCAGTCACGAAGAGTCCTGGTTCAAAAATTTGTGATTTCATGCTGTTTGCTGCAAAATTCTAAACTCTTTCATTAATCATGTTATTGTGATGGAGTTTCAAATTATATATCCCTCAAAACATCTGCACTACAGTGTGCTAGAAAATGTGGCCCCTGCTACCTCTTTGATGGGCACCATCCCACTTGGGCACAGACTCCAGCTACAATGGCCCCTTGCTGTTCTTCCCACACACCAAGCACAGTCCTACCTCTGTGTGGGCTGGACTGACCACCTCCTCCACCTGGAATACACTCTCCAGGTACCTGCAGGGTCCCCTCCTAGATTCTTCCTCCTGTCAGGGAGGTTTTCCCTGACTACACAATCATTATAGTGCTTTATTTTTCTCCCAAGTACTTATCATGCCTGAAATATTTTATGTATTTGTTTGTTTATTGTTAAAACTAACACACACGCACACACTCTCTCTCTCTCTAAAATGGAAGCTCTACAAGAACAGGGATTTAGTCTGTTTCGTTCACTGCTGCCAGTGTCCAACAAGTCATGGACACTCTATTTTATAAATGAACAAACCAATGAAGAAAAAAACAAAATTAGGATGTAAAAATGTATTTTTAGTATGAGCTCAAATATTTAAAACAGAAGCAGGGTAGGAAAAAAAACAAACATTGGAAAAAGGTCAAGATGTTAACCTGCTTCTTTAAAATCTTTTAGACTTACCAAAGTGTCTAAAATCATTCAGTACTGTTATATTCATAAAGTAAAATGAAAATACAAAATAAATAAGGTAAAAGGAAAACAAAAACACACTGCTGCCTCACAACCCAAGTGCTCTTAGCTACAGCCCCCAGCCTGGGGAGGGTGCCAGACCCTTTCTGTACCCCCCGCCCCCATTCCACGACCAGTCTTATTCATCACCCTTGAAGCTTTTTAAGGAGCTGGGATTAGGATATTAATCTTTATATTCTCCATATCATCAATTAATATCTGATGCATACCAGACCTTGAGTAAATGTTTGCTAAAACGATTTATGCATGTGAGAACTAACAGCAAAGAGCTCTGGTCTCTGCAACAGGCTTTCTGTAAGAATGCCTAACTTTAAGTCTACCAGGAACACGAGCTATCTTTCTTCATGAAAAGTTTTGAATTCCTCTTGCAAGAGAGCCATCAAAAGCTTAGCCTATGTCACCAGCTCCAGGGGATTTGGTATCAGAGTGATCAGTCTAGATCCAGCTTCAGACAATTTGGACCTGATGCATTAGCATTCACCCTTAGGCCCGTATCACTCCCGGCTGTTTTATTAGTGACATTAGGGCATACATTATCTCCCTTACAAGACTCAAGTCTCCTGGAGGACAGGGCCCATTGTATTCATTCTTAGCACCTGGTTATAGGTGTAACCACAGGGCCTCCAGTGTACAAAGACAGGAGCTTGTGTACAAAGACAGGAGCTTGGTAGTACGCTTAGATGAATGAATTCACAGCCCCCAAAAAGCCCAGTCCAGAATTGAATTGTGCCCCTCAGTTACTTTCTACTGTGTTTCAGGAAAAGTCTTTTTTAAAAACATACACTTCAGAAGCAAAACAATTCCAACTGAGAAAACCCCACGTGCTCCCCTCCCTCCTCTTAGGGTAAGTTACAGAGTTGGAGGTAACAGGATAATCTGGTTCCCACCAAAAAGGACCCACCTGTAATATGAGGGACTCTTTATCTCCTTCTAGACGTGCCAAGCGTTCCTGGTAGGTTTCATTACTAGCAGCACTGTGGTGATTTACCTGGGACCAAAGAGTGGAGAAATAAAGAATACACTTAAAAGGTTGGAAAAACATCTTACCAATTTCCATATGGAATATGTAATGTATATAATTTGTGAGGACATCTCCACTGATTATATGTATAAAACCACCAACCGAAACAGGAAACCACAAGATTTCAAAACTACTACAGGGATGACCAGACCACATGCCACTGAAAGGTGTGCCTTGGAGTTGACACAACCACCTCCTGCATGACCTCACTCTTGGCCAGTGGGCCTTGATAGAGCTCCAGACCCAGCAGTGCTTGACTTGACTGGACATGCTGGTTTGGTTTTGCTGGAGGCACAGCAATGTGAGGGTCTGCTCTCTGAGGAGACCAGACAGCTGGCACCATTCACCAAGGAACTATGTGGGAACAACTTCTGCACAGACCTTGGTATCTCCTAACTCTCACTCCAGGGTTCGCCAGAGCCAAGGCACACCTCGCAGCATGGAGGCCCATCCTGAACACCACAGTGAGCATGGAGGATGGGGAAGGCCAACTGCAAAGCCCTTCATCTACTCACTTATCCCTTCCCACCCCAATCCCACCTCACCAAGGGCTTTGGCAGCCAGGCTGGCAGGTCATGTTCCTGCAGTGCTAGAGCTGAGAGAAGCAAGCAAAGTCGAAACATCTAGGAAAGAACCTAAACAACGGCCAAAAGGATCTCAAAGGGCTAAGCGGAGGAAAAACACAGGAAATGTAAAGGAGCCAGGAACTATAGAAAACAGAAGAAAGGGAGAGGATGTGAAATGGCAGGGGAGAGGAAGAATCTTATGAAATGCTTTGAACTAGAGACAGGAGCTGTCACTTTCCAGGGTGTGTCTGACCTGGGCAGGGAGGAGGGAAGGACCCGATAATGGAACTAGGCTGGCCCCAATACCACCAATGCTTGCTTCCTATGTGCCAAATGGAAGACTGAAACCAGGGGCCCACAGTAGGCCAGCCAGAGGCTTGGCTGTCTGAAAAAGTAGAACTTATTGCTACATGGGGAAATGATTATGATCATCATCTGGGCTGGCCCAGTAAGATCAATGCTCCGATATTATGAAGCAAGTGTCCATAATCATGATAAAAATCATGATTGTGCAAAGGGGCAGGACAGAGAGGCTCAGAGTTGAGCCACTTTGCCCCGAGTCCACTTCCCACATTCCAACTTTTAGAATGGGCTCTCCGACCTCCCTCCATGAAAAAGGGCACTTCTTTCCTCCCTTCATCCTACCCCTTCCCAACACACTGCCTAGGTGAGGGTAGGTGACAGAGCCACACCCAGTTCTAGAACAGAAACAGGGACCAAGCATTCTGCATGCAAACTCTGGAGTCTCACCAGTGAGAGAAGCACTGGCTCTTTGTGGAAGGTACAGTGGGAGGGCAAGCCCAGGGCCATTTCCCAGCACAGTGGTGCCAGCCAGTCCAGATGGCACCCAGCGCCCACTCCCACACTGCTGCCTTCTACTTCAGCCTCTCTCAAGCCTGTGTCTTGTCTTGTCCATTGTTATGAAGGCTCTTTCATGCCATAGACAAAAGGCTTTAATAACTACAAATGACTTCTTTGTTGATGGCAGTTTATTGTTGTTACATTAATTAATATTCCAGTTCTCACATGGCCAAACTCTCTGACTAGCATCCAAGGATATATTATAACCTACATTTTCCCAGAACCTGACAAGAAAAGATAGGAAGATAATCCTTAACAGCAAGTCAAATTCTTCTCTGTCAAAGAACGCACACATGGGGCCGGCCCGGTGGCGCACTGGATAAGTGCGCCGCTTGGGAAGCGCAGTGGCGCTCCCGCCCGAGGGTTCGGATCCCACATACAGACCGGTTCCCGCTCACTGGCTGAGCGAGGCGCGGGAGCAACGCCGAGGTTTGCAATCCCGTTGCCGGTCCCCGGTCCGGTACGGGGGCAACACTGAGGGTTGCGATCCGTTGCCGGACACGGAAAAAAGACAAAAAAAAAAAAAAGAACACACACAATGGTAATTTTTAGTGGATGGAGAGAATAGAAAAGTGAAGCTCTGCACATCAGACCCCAGTGCCAAAGTCAGCATGTGCATGAAGTCACCCAGCATGGGTGGCTGCCATGTCTCCAGCAGGAAGTGAAGGAGAGAAGACCAAAGGGAACACTACTGCAAGCCACACCAACTGTGCCTTCTTCAGATGGTGTGCATATGGCCCTCATTATAATGACGGTCACCCATACAATCACCCAGAGGGGCAGCTGTTTTTAC